GATAAGCAACACCGTCTACTTTCTTCATTACACTCCCCAGCCTTGGATTTGATTCGAGCAGTAGGAGACATCTCATCTAATAACATATACCAAGAACTAAATGAACTTTACGGAAGTGTGTCTAATGGTATTAAGTTACTTCAAGAATTTTTTCAATTAAAACGAGAAAGTACAGAATCTTGCTCCCGGTATCTCCAAAGACTTGGTGTGAAGATAAACCTTGTTAAAAAACGTGGAGGGTTACAAGAAGAACTGATGAATGAGACTATACTTAATCATTATATATCTTCATGTGAATCCGATGTAATTAAGCAATATCTCCACACAAAGTATTCCGATAGTGCACCCCCTACTTTACATGCCTTACTAAAGGAAGTGAGAAGACCGGAAGAAACTCTTGAACATTGTCCGCACGAGGTAAAAAAGAAGCCAAAGCCTCAAAGCCACACTCAGCAAACAGATAATGGTATTATAGACACCCTTAAAAGTTTGCAATTACAAATAAATCAGTTGTCCCAACAAAACAAACAACCTGTTAACCCGAAGAATACCGCTGGTACACGACTTAAAGCAAAGAAAAGTAGATTTTGCTACAAATGTGGAGAAAGGGACCATATAAAGCCTAATTGTAGTAACAAAGACAATCCTCAATTAGTATTCGAAAGATTAAATTCAAAGGGGTCTCAGTAGAGAGGCAGACTGAGCCCCATGGTGAGGAAAGCAAGAAAGAAAATCAAGAAAGTTTGTCTAGCTGTGAAAACCCGATTAGACTATCTAAAAACTGTTTGATTGATATTGATCCAAATACTGTGATGTGGAATTCTATTCAACCAAATCATTTACCTAATGGGTTGTTGGTAAAGAAAACCAGTATAGTGAAAGATAAACTTTATTTGACAATTCAAAATCATTCTAATCTGCACAAAACTTTTACTTCAAATGATATTTTAGCATAGGTACAAAACAGTGAAAATCAAGTGTTTGAAAGTTTGGTTGGTCCAGCCTGTGAAACTGATGCACACGTAAATGGCTTTCCGTTAAGAACACTTTTAGATAGTGGCTCCCAAGTCACCACTATAACACGTGAATTTTATAACAGACATTTATCACACTTATCAATCTTTCCGATCAGCGATAAGACGTTTGCTGTAGAAGGGGCTGGGGGTCAAAGAGTTCAATGTGATGGATTTATTAAAGTCGATTTAACTTTACCAAAAGAAGTTGTTGGAACTGATTGTCCTATACTGACATATGCTTTAGTTTGTCCAGAGACACCTTATACTCACGAAGTACCAATGATTATTGGAACCAACACCTTTCGGTTTTTTAGTGAATTGTGTCAGAAAAAATTTGGAAAGAATTTCTTGAATAGTATGTTCATGAAACCAGAAATAAAATATGCATTTCAGAATTCAAGTTGTCCACCAAATGGTAAAATTGGAAATGTAAAAATAACCAACAAAGCCAAGCTGAAGCTGAATTCTGGACAAATGTTTGAATTAAAGGGATTTTGCCGCTCCAATATTCCAACAACTAGAGATACACTTATTGTACAGGAAAATCCTGAAGTGAATTCACCAAGTAACATTAGAATTATTAACACTTTGGTGCCTTCTGTATGCCATAATTTCAAGCGTGTGAAGGTCTTGATTCAAAATGTGTCATACTCAGATATCACTATTAAACCCCAGGATATCAAACCAGCTTTGTATCAAATTGACTCATGTATTCCTTTGGAATCTGTAAAGGACAATGTTGTTAGTTTTCTCAGCCAAGTTGAAACACCTGATGTTGATACATCCATCCCAACTTCTTCTGATCTTGAATTTAATTTTGGTGAACATTTACCAATTGAAGATAAAGTACGCATTGAACAGAATCTTCGTCAATACTCTGATGTTTTCAGTAAACATGAATATGATGTAGGAAAAACTTCAGCAGTTGAGCATGAGATCAAGTTGAATCCTGGAGCAATCATCAAGGAAAGGCCTAGGCCTATACCAGCTCGAGATTTTGAAGATGCTCGAAAGCACATACAACAACTCTTGGATGCTGATATAATTAAACCCTCAAATAGCCCATATGCGAGCCCCATAGTACTTGTTCGTAAAAAGAATAATAAACTGCGACTTTGTGTGGATTATCGTAAGGTTAATTTGAGAACTATCAAGGACGCTTATCCAATCCCTAAAATATGAGACATTTTTTCAGCTCTTCATGGATCACAGTGGTTTGTTACTATGGACTTGAAGATGGGTTTCCATCAGATTCCCATGGCTGAATCCAGTAAAGATATCACCGCTTTTGTTTGTCCATTTGGTCTATTTAACTTTGAAAGGATGAGTCAAGGACTTACAAATAGTCCCTTAACATTTCAGAGACTTATGGAACAATGTGTAGGCGATATGAATTTACGTGAATTACTAGTCTATCTAGATGATATCATTGTCCATGGACCTGATATCAAAACATTAGAAGCCAGACTTTATAAGACTCTGGATCGACTTCGTGCCTTTGAACTGAAACTTGATCCTAAAAAGTGTTCATTTTTCTGTAAATCAGTAAAACATTTAGGACATATCGTTTCTGGAAGTGGAATCAAACCAGATCCTGATAAGATTTCTGCACTTATAACCTGGCCTGTTCATAAAACTCTCCGAGACCTTAAAAGCTTCCTAGGATTTACTGGATACTTCCGACAGTTTATAGACAGTTATTCTCAAATAGTGAAACCATTGAACACTTTAACTAGTGGTTATATTCCTCCAAAGACTGCTCGGAAATTGAAAGATCGAGATTTACTAAAAGGTCGTGACATATTAAGTATGAATTCTTCCATCGAACAAAAATGGAACGATGATTGTCAGAAGTCCTTTAATTTGATAATTCATAAACTAACTACAGCTCCTGTTCTAGCATTTGCCGATTTGTCATCACCTTTTATACTCCACACAGATGCGAGTAATATAGGACTTGGTGCATGTCTTTATCAAGAACAGAATGGTCAGTTAAAAGTCATTGCATATGCTAGTCGAGGTCTTACCAAGAGTGAATTCAATTATCCAGCCCATAAGAAAGAGTTCCTTGCCTTAAAGTGGTCGGTAACTGACAAATTTCACGACTATGTATATGGCGGCAAATTCACAGTGATAACAGACAATAACCCACTCACGTACGTCCTTTCATCAGCGAAATTGGAAGCAACTGGCTTTCGATGGCTAGCCTCCCTCTCCATCTATGATTTTGACTTGAAATATCGCCGAGGTCTTAACCACAATGACGCTGATGGCTTAAGTAGACGACCTCAGGAACCTCCTCAAGCTGACTATGAATATGACAACACTTTGAAGAACATTTCCTGGTTAAAATCTAGAATAGAACCACCTGACAACACTTTGTCAACTGATGATGTCAATTCCATCATTACCTGCCATGGAATCAATGTTAGAAAAGCTGCAAGAAATACTGTCACTTCATCTATGTCACGTATTGAGCACAAAAGGACGGCATTATCTAACATCTCTTCAACCAACTTTGATCAGCCTTGCATAGAACTATGTGGTGCCAGAGAAACTGCTGTTCCTGACTCTTTAGCTACTCCAGAGATTATTCAACTTACACAGTCTGCATCAATCACAAAACAAGAATGGTGTAAAATTCAGGATGCTAATGAAAACATACGCATTATTAGAAAATTGGTGAAGTCACATTCCAAACCTACTAAGCAGCAAATTATTGATGCTAATGCTGAACTGAAAATATTTTATCGTGAACTTGAAAAATTGGTCTTGATTGATGGTGTTTTACACAGATTTGTAACTGATGATAAAGGCTTAGATTGGCAACAACTAGTAGTTCCTCCCAGTCATCGAGATCAAGCCTTGGCCGGTATTCACGAAGAACTTTGTCATTCCGGTATTCAGTCAACTCTACGCCTTGCAAGACAACGATTTTTCTGGCCCTATATGGCATCTGCTGTTGAAGACAAATGTAAACAGTGTAATAGATGTATACGTAGGAAAGCCAATAGTGATAGAGCTGAAATGGAATCTATTATTACTAATTATCCCTTACAATTGGTATGTATAGACTTTTTATCTATAGAACCAGACAATAAAGGCATAAAAGATGTTTTAGTGTTGACCGATCACTTCACTAAGTATGCCATGGCAATTCCAACTAAAAACCAAACAGCCAAAACTGTAGCTGAAACCTTATGGGATAACTTTATTTGTCACTATGGTTGGCCTGAAAGACTCCACAGTGATCAGGGTAAGGATTTTGAATCCAAACTTATAGCTGAACTGTGCAAACTTGGCAATATTAAGAAATCACGTACAACATCTTATCACCCTCAGGGGAATCCAGTAGAACGTTATAATAGGACACTTTTAAACATGTTGGGTACTTTAAACCACAGTCAAAAGCATGAGTGGAGGAAATATGTCAAACCTTTAACACATGCATATAACTGTACTGTTAATGAAACAACAGGATATAGACCTTATTACTTAATGTTTGGACGCCACGCTAGGTTGCCAATAGACATTGTTTTTGGAACTGATCCTGGAATTCGTCAATCTAAGTGTTCTACTAGTCAATATGTAGCCAATCTCCATGAGAGACTTAAATATGCTTATGACATTGCTATTAATCAAGTTCTTAAGTCTTCAGAGAAATATAGGAAATACTATAATAAGAAAGCTTCTGCTGTTAGTCTTGAAGTTGGTGATCGTGTATTAGTTCGAAATGTAAATATTCGAGGAAAACACAAACTGGCTGACAGATGGGAACCAGATATCTACATTGTAAAATCTAAGTCAGCTGATGATCCAGTCTATACTGTTCACAAGGAAGATAAAACAGGTATTGATAGAACTCTACACAGAAATTTATTACTCCCATGTGGTCAACTCTCAACTGATATATTGTCTATAAAGGAACAAAAACCCCCCAAAATAAAGACTCGCTCACAAACGAAGCCCAAGACAATTGATAATATGTCTAGTGAGCAATCTTGTTCTGATTCACAGTCAGATTCGGAATGTTACGAGATTGAAACTTTCGCTCGGTTTGAATTACCTCCCTTTGTGCCAAATGGTGGAGAACATTCTGATATTGTGAATAATTCCGCCCTCTCTCCAGAGGCTGAGGAATTTGTGCCTACTATTAGTGATTGTGTTGATGTGAGTGTTAATTTTGAGAATCCTAGTGAGATTATTTCAGATCAAAGTGTATTAGATATTGAGAACGATAATGAGTTAGATACACCTCAACATGACAATATACCTCAATCAGAAAAGAAGATAGATAGTTCAGATAGTATCCGGAGATCCTCAAGATTACGTAATGCTCCAACTCGTCTTACATTTGATACTTTAGGAGAACCTACATTCCAACATATAGATTCGCGATGTGTCGATAATCCAAATCCTAGTGTGGAAAATAGCTCTACAAGCAACTTGGCTCTAGATATGTTCATGTGGGCATCTTCTCTTTTTACGCGACCATCTCCAAGTAAAATTCTTGTTGTGTAGAGTGTGCGTAAAAGTCTAGATTGATATTATATATGTGCGTGTACCGTGTATTTATATATAAGAAATATCGATATCTAGATATGTGTTCGTCGGAAAACCAATATGATATAAAATAAATTTTATGTGCATATTCTTGGAATACATAAGTGATGCTGACAATCATTTTGTTAAACTCTACTCGATAACATTTTATAATCTGTTTTTCATTTTATTGTGAAACTATCAAGATTTTCATATTGTTGTATTTGCCAGGTAAAAGAATTGTATCTTTTAAGTTTGACTTATAAGCTAAATTCTTTTTCTTAGGATGGGTATGTGTAGCCATCTCCATCTTTATGCTTTTACCCAGTATATACAAAAATATGGATGTCTACTAATAATTGTTTCTATTTCAAAACTGTTAATTAATTTAATAGTCAAATACTATTTTCAATATTATTTCATTCATGAATAGTTAATTGTTATTAATTTCGTCAATATTGTTATTAAAAATACATCTCATGTTTTTAGACGCATAGGTCAAGTCCAAATTTAGGACGCCACCCAGTTGCATTCTGGTCTTGTAGAAAATTCAGCCATTTTGAATATTTCTAGAAGCGTTCTGGTTTTGGACTAAATTAAACTTTATATAGCAAATATTGATTCTTTATCACTATATTTGTAGGATACTACTGTGTTTATCCTGAGCACCAACTATAGCAAAATAACCCGTTATATTACGACCACCATCCCACTTCTAGACGTAATAGAAGAGGGCCCTGGAGGTTACACAAGGGTAAAACTATTTTTACGAAACATTAAGGGCAGTATGCTTAGAAAGCGTTTTTCAACCAATTATAGATATGTACCATGTGGAGAGGAGATATAAAGACCGCTCAAATCAGATTTCCGAAGGATATTTTTCGTTCACCAATCCAGTGTCTTCCGAATAGTGAAATTGGTATCAAGGGCTATAGCTATTCATAGGCATGGGGTAATTACGTTTCCAGATGAAAATGAAATAAAAACAATACAATACAATATTCCTGTGTTGAATATAGAAATGAAAATTAAATTAGCTACATAAAATATAATCATATATTTTTGAAAAATTCAGTACCAATGCAAAAGGGATTGTTTAAAGTAAGGTGCTACGTAACAGTTCGAATCGTGCATATGCAACTTACATGTATTTCGAAGACGTGGAATCAGTCTCGTAATTTATCTTCTTTCAAAATTTCCACAGCACTTATCAAATCGAAGTGGCATATTAATATCTAAATTACTTTTATTGAAATTGGATTTTCGGATTTGAGAAGTTCAAATTATGTATAATCAGAGGACTGTATCCCATTAACTAACCTGACGTCGGTTGAGCCAAAGTGAAGCTATCTTGATTGAAATCCATATCGTTATCAAAATCATTCTTCAGTGGGTTCAGCACATAGCACACAGCTTTTGATTTGAATTACTAGAATCCATTGTCACCACCATTTTTCTTTCTCCCTTTTTTTTCAATTGCTACAGATTTTTTTGCCTTCATTTTAAATTATTCCAGCATTTCTTTAACTGCTTGTCATCTCGTTTTAAGAAAGTGGGCATGAAACAAAAATTCGCCTCTATTTCTCTCCACGCCTTTTCCTTCCTTTGTATGGACCGAATACCATTTTGTTTCGACTCCAATACACCATTAAACTCACCCACTACATTGATAAGGAATTCCTGTTCAATTACAGTAAGTTGGGGTGTCTTCTTCTTGGTATTCTGAGGCGACGACATACTGTCTGATATCTTGAAAAATCAATCAAATTATGATTTGTAATGACCCTGATGCGTATTTATAGTAAAGACCCCACGAAAAAGCACATGAGAAACATGTCAAATTCTTGCTGTCCGTAAATTTTTGGTTAAAAAATGTATCAATCACTTTTTCTATTAACAAATATATTCGAAATTAAATTATAATTCTTTGATTTCGGGGAAGGGAGGGTTTGATTCTCCCAAATGTACAGGCCTAGGGTGGAGCAGACACTTTATTTAGAAATTAGGATTAAGGGTCTTGATATTGGGTTTTCTTCTGTTCTTATTCTGATCTGAAATTAGAAAAAATAACTCGCCCGATGGGCGAGAAGTATAGTATCTGTTATGTGCTGATTGTTTTTAGTTTACTATGAACAATATTATCATTTAAGTTCTTATTTTTTGAATATGCAACTATCATTTTCTGCTTATAGACATGGGGGAATTTCTCTTGAAGGCTCTTATAGTGGGCATGAACTATCATGCTTGCTCGATTGCTAGTTGTATTAAACTGGACAACAAAGGGTGCTATGCCTACTTTATGATGAATATTTAGTCCTATAGGTCTTGCTGTATTCAATGTCTCAATCCAATGGGCTTCCCTAGATTGACGGAATTTGGTAGTTTCATCTTCGGGCAAGTCAATTTCTATACGCTCAATTGGGATTAGGGCGAGATCGTCTATTGAATGGTCGTTGAGGTTGAAATGATTAGAAACAGGCTTGTCTTTCTTTAATTTGATGTCTGACCTATGAGCATTAAAGCGAGTTCGTAAATTATTCATAGTTTCTCCTACATATTGTTTGGGGCATTTCTTGCATGAAATTAAATATATTACATTCGAATGTTCACATGTTAGATGTTCCTGGATCGGGTACCTTTTATTCGTAGAGTTGCTTACAAAATAATGAGTTTCTGATATAAAGGGACATGTTTTGCATCTACTGGACAAACATGGAGCACTTCTTAAACCTGGAGGTACTTCGGCATTAAGTCTGTTTTAGCTGCTATCTGTGCTAAGGTGTAATTTTTTATGTTTCGTAAAAATTGTTTAGAGTACCCACGCTCTTTCAGTTTTGAGAAAACAATCGTACAGGCTTGGTTGAAATCAGAAGATCTTGTACAAATTCGATGAAATCGTAAAACTTCTGACTTAATTATACCAGAAAAGGTATGTTTTGGGTGAAAGGAGCTCTTGTGCAAGAGTTGATGAGTATCAGTTTCTTTGAAATACACTTTAATATCCAGTTTATTCGTTTCTGCCATGGAATCTCCCTCAAAGACTGTGGTATCGTGAAAGTCTATGCTTTTGTCACTCACGTTTGCGGTTAGTTTGATAGAAGGTGGTTGTTGAGAATTCCAAAGAATTCCCAAAACTGTTCGATAGAATAAGTCCAAACCATAAAAATGTCATCCAAAAAGCGTCCGTAAAAAAGGGTCAAATGGACAGAGGGGCAACACCTCACGTTCCCACTCTGCCATTAAAAGGTTTGCGTACGAAGGGGCGAATCGTTTGCCCATTGCTGTCCCTGAAGTTTTTTAATATGTTTTACCATTAAATGTGAAATCGTTTCGACTAAGACAAATCTCTAAAAGCTGTAGAATTGCATCGTCGGGTCTGTTTGGATCTGGGTTTCTATTAAAAGCTTTACGAACTGCCGTTAAACCAGTAGTGTTATCGATATTGGTATACATAGAAGAAACGTCGATAGAAATTAAAATAGCATTAGAGGGAACTCGAAGATTTTTTATTTTATTGACAAAATCGGTTGTGTCTTTAAGGTAGGCGCGATGTTGACATGCTAGAGGTAGTAAGAAATGATCAATGTATTCTGACACTGCATATGACTCACTACCACAGTCAGATATAATCGGGCGGCCTTTAGGGATTTTATTCGAGATAAACCACTCCTTGGTTGGATACTTATGGATTTTAGGCAAAGTGTACAAATGTCTCTCGCGACAATCAGGTTTGGCAGACAGATAGTCATATTGTTTCTGTTTGAGATAACTAGTTTTGACTAAATCGGCAAGAATATTGTTAATCATGTTAGCAGTTTCTTTGAAAATTGGTTTCGGCAAAATGGCATAATGTTTAGGATTATTCAGTTGATTCTCTGCTTCTGCCCTATTCAGAATGACACAACATGAACCTTTGTCACTCTTTTTAATAACAATGCTATCGTCTTTCTTAAGTAAGTTTAACGCTTCACGTTCCACTCTTGTGAGATTAGGCTTTTCGTGTGTTATGGAAAGGTTCACTGTTTGGCTATTCATACTCGCAAATGCTTTCAATATTTCAGGATGGATGGCGGCCTGAGGGGGTGTCCACGTGGATTTAGGAATAAACATTGTTCTAGCACCACGTGGGGGTGGTTTCGAAAAAAATATGTGCAGCTACGATTTCGTTGAAATCGTTCAATGGATGGTCGGAGATAATTCAAGTTAGCTATCTTTGGTGTGGGAATAAATTTAAGTCCACGGTCTAAGATTGAATGCTGAAGGGGTGTGAGAATTTTGCGGCTCAAGTTAACTACAGTTTGGCCTAGCGGTGGCCTCTCAGTATTTTTATCCCCAGTTATTAGTTTAAAGACTTGATGCTTGAAGCTGGTGTATCCAAAACAAATAAATGCTGTTTGCTGTTTCTTCGTAGGGTGGTAAGATTGTTGCGCTGTTGATACTGGACTCCATCATCATGTTGTTGAGAGTGCTGAGTTTCTGTTTTGCTTTCTTCGAGATTTTATTTGAAATGGGTATACATGTGAAGAGGATCTTGGAGTTTGGGAAGGATTTGTTGGCTGTGGCGATTAATTTCTGGGCTTGGTTAAAGGAGGTCTTTGGTAGCTGATCACGGTTGTTGAGGCCTACATGAAGAATAATGGTAGTAGGTTTGGGATCATGGTCGTATGATTCCAGGATTGATTGTATGTGATGGATTTGGGCACCGGGGTAAGAATGTATTTCAGTGTCTGAACTGGTTTTGGTAATTCGATTCAGGTTAGATGATCCAATAATTAAGGTAGATTTCTTTAGAGCGGGTAGCTTCCATAATGATTTGTCCTTAGTTTGGTGATAATACGGTTTGGTAGCGGATATAATGGTCGTCGACGGTGTGATTGGTACTGGTTTGGTAGTTGTTAGAATTGTAGCATTGGGAACGGACTGGGATCTGGTTCGAGGGGGGAAGGTCTGGATATACGTCTCGACTTGGATGGAGACTG